TGTTGTCTATACATTTCATTTTATACTTTCAGTACACAGACTAACAACAATATTAGGTTATACTTTTGTTGCTAAGGGAAATGACATAAAGACCATTGTTGGAATGTAGTGTTACCAATATGCAATGGCTTTTCTATATATCAGGAGTTGTTAATCTAACTGATTTTTACCAATAATTATTCTATGAATACACCACAAACTCACTTCATGAATGATCTTAATTTTGATTGGCTTACAAAGGAATTTACCGAAGTTTGACTGTCTCGACTGCACTTTTCTGCCTCTTTGTTGGTCATGCTTGATTTCACAAAATTTATTTATTTCAGTTAGTCATGAAATGTTAGGTTAGGGTATACTATGGGGTGGGGGTGTTAGTACTTGCCCTGTCATTTTTGATGGGCTAAATGCTAGTTTTCTATAATTAAAAAAAGGGCTAAAACTTGATTTTTTTATCTCTTTATAATTTAGCTAGCTAACTAATCCTACATTTTAGAGAACATATTTTGGTTTATGCTAAAGTTATTCACATTTACTGTATTATCATAAATTAACATATATTGTGGTCCTATAATCAATATTATACAATATTATACAATATTAATTATTATTATAATTCCTGGTAAGGTATGTATTATAAGATTTTGAAAGAATAACTGAAAATACAAACTGTGAAAGATTTGACTAAAATGTTTGCCCATTTTAGACTAAGATTAGATCATACTAAGACTGTAACAAAGACAAGATTCATGGACCAAGATAAAATGTCTGATCATTTTACTTGACATATAACACGTAATTTAAATACAACAAGGGACCTGTTGATCCATCTAGGAAATCTCATCCACTAAGCTTCAAAATAAAACACTCAAAGCTAGCCCTTATCATTCAAATATTTATCAAGTCTTCCCTTAAATTAACTGCAACCCATTCAAAAGAAAAATAAAACTGTTTTAGATGAAGACGACTCCTACTTTGCAAAATTTAAATTTGTTTTCCCTATCCTTCCATTCTCACTAATGACAAGACTAAGACAATGACTAAATTAGACCCCCCCCCCCCCTGATTAAGACTAGACTAAAATTACAAATAGATCAGGGATAAAAATAATGAAATAAAATTACGGAAAGAATGCATTCCTTCATGTAACATTGCATTTCCTTATGAATTATTGTGTTATTTAATCCATGAAATATATGTTCACTTTCAATGGTCATAACTAAAGGAATACGGATATATTGTGCACTCCCTATTGGGGAATAGGAACTAAAAAAAAAAAGAAATTCCTCGAGCAAAGTTAAATTCCTTGAGAATGTGGGAATGTAATATTTCAATCCCTGTAGATGTTAACTTGTCTAAGACTATGACTAACATTAAAAGAAGACTTTAAGTTAACACAGATGGAATACTAGTCGACTGAGTCAAGAGTCCTTCTACGTGCATCTCGTAATGATCTACCTAGTGGTTGTTTTTAGACGTCACACTTGTTTCTCTAGCAGAGTATAATGAAAATAAGACAGAACCAGGAAATTTTTGGAGAAATGTTTATGGTATTACCAATCAATCGCAAAAACAATCCTCAACGAGTAGCACAGAACCAAGTGACATTTACACCATTATTATAACAGTCTGTGAACTTTGTATAAAAAGAATTAAATTGACTCACTTGGATAATATGCTCATAGAAAAATCCTTTCTCTACTGTTTTTTAATTTCCATACTTCTCAATTTGATTCACAAATTCAAATTATAAAAAAATTTTGAAAATTAAATTATTTTTACGAAATTGATGACTTTTGAAATTACCTGAAAATTGGTCCTCATTTGACCTCTTGAAATACTTACTAAAAACAAATTCACTTCTAAAAAAAATCAAAAATATGAGCACAGTATAGAGAAAATACTAATACATGTATTACTATCTATATCAAGCTGACACAGAGAAACTACAGTCACATTCAAAGAGTAACACAACACCAAAAGCGACCACTTTGCTTTGGCCATCTTATTGGCGCACCATCTTACTATTTTGTTTCCCTGTTATACCAATGTTCAACTATTTACTGTACAATCAGCTTTTCTACATCCTGTATGTACGTGAAGTGGGTAATGAACCACTACAGGCTGCTAAATTGACAAGGACTGTGCTGATCAACATTTATTGAATTTATATTATAATACAATCATCAGTTCATTAAAACTCACCCATCTCCTGGGATTTCCCTTAAGCTAAGGTTCATCACTGCTAACTGATTATTAAAACTGGCAAAGTTCTCATCATCGGCCAGATACGAGTCATGAAACTTGCTCTGTCTGTCTTTCTGGTGTGCTGGCTTGACAATATTCTTCTCACCCCGTTTTGTCCCACTCTTAGCTGAAGTATCAGTTTTTTGACGTCCCATGTGTTCATCCCTGGAAAAAAAAAAAGACACAGAAAAAATTCCTTATAATACTTATTACATTGATGGAATTATCCCTTAAATCAAAATAATATAACCATGAAGCATACGATTGGAGATAACCATTATCCCAATTTTAGCTATCCCTAATAGTTATACATTATTGATTTATTTATTTCAAAAACAACTCTTTTCAATTCACACAGTTTAAAAGAATGCTAAATAAAGGACTCGCATTAAAGCAACAGCCTGGTACTGCGACAAATTTTCTAAAAACAAATGCCAGGCTTAGAGTTGACCATGGAACCATACACGTATATGTAACGGATTATTAAAAAATGCCACTTTAAACTCAGCCTAACCATTAGTTACAGCATACAGTATATAAAGCATTAAAAAATTTTATTATATTTCTGAACATTAGATGTTTTATGAAGTGTCTTCAAAATTAAAAGATTGACAAGATTCAGAACAACGTTTCTTTATAGTTTTAATACATTTCTAACGCTAGATTCCTTGTGTAGTCTCTTGGAAATGTCAAGACTTATGATATTTCTGTACAGAAAGGTGTGTGCATTCTTCTTCTTTTTCACAGTTAATATTTTTTAGTTAATTTTTTAGTGTGTTTTCCATCTTTTCTGTACCTAAGTATGGATTTACATGTTTTCTATGAGATTTGGTGTGTTTCTTACAGTTTTATGCCACTTTAAACTTAACCTAACCATTAGTTACAGTATACATATCTTACAGTATATATACATTTATATATATATATATATATATGTGTGTGTGTGTGTCGGCATGTAGATATTTCACATAGCCTTTCATCACAGTTTACATTAGCTAAATCCTCAAACTTTATACTTCTATAGCTTAATTATGTAAGGTACTCAATAATAAAATGTGATACAAGCTATGTCAGAAAAAAAAAGTAGTGTATTTACACTAAAAAACAGAAAATTATATCTATAGACTGCATTAATTCCACACATTCATCAAAATGTCTCATACGACTGATGAGAAAACAAATGTATATTTGTTTCATGATTTGATTAGATCATGAGATAGAGTTTTTGGCCTAATAAATACATCATAAAAAATCAAAGAGAAAAATCAATGATGAAAGGAGTTTAAAAACTTTAGACCAGTTGTTGATGAATACAATATAAATTACGATCCAAAAATATTTCAAATTGAAGAATAAATCAAAGTAGAAAACACTTAAAAATTACAAATTAGAAAAAAAACTCGCATATCATAGTACCTAAATTTCAAGATTTCATTTTCCAAAAGTCAAATGACTCTAATAACGTCTAGACTGGGAAATGGATTTACAGAAGTTGGTCGAACAAGTCGGCACAGATGTGCACTAGAATTTTAGTTACACTTCAAGATCTAATGCCTTATAGATTATTTTAATTTCAAAACTCATTGAAATACTTTTGACTTGGAACTTCAAGGCTTAAAAAAAATTGAAAAACTGAGTTAACTGATTTAATTTATTTAAAAATACTTAAAAACGTAAAGTCTAACGAACAAACTGAAACAGATTTCGGCCTTTGACCTCTAACTAATCCAGCTGAGACGCGTACAACCGCAAGTAACAATGTAACTTTTCTTCTTTAGAAAACACTGCTATTCAAAAAACAAAAACATAAGTTCACCATAAACGGTTATTTAAAATATTCCTGGATTAATATTAAGTAGAGAACAAGAACATTTATACCTAAATATTCAATAGAATACTCTATTGAGCTTTGATTACCGTTTCATCAGAAATATCACCTTCCACAACGAATAAAACAACTTAACAAGTATAGCAAACACCGTTCTCTCGCTAACGGATTGGTTCCAACGACACCTGGGATAATGATTAAACCACTAGAAATTCGATGTTTGTTGCAGTTGGTTGTTTGTACGAACGCTAATAATATCAGCGTTATTCATATTCGGAAGACGTATAACTTTACGCCTGTTTGTTTCTTACAAAACTAAGGTTATTTAGATATAATATCATTATTAAGATTATTCTCAGCGTAAATCTACATATAAAGTATATGACTACTGCAAATTCTAGGCCCAACAAAAACTCCAGCACGATATGTAATCAAAAGTTTAAAAAATTAAAATGGATATTTACATAAAATTTCTAGTTTCTGGTATTTTTTGTAAAAAATATACATATCCAGATGCTATAAAGATCAAAATACATTTAACTGAAATAGAAAAAATCGTTATAACTTACAATTGAAAGAGTATTCGGAAAATGTTGGCTTTTAATGCGTGCAGAAAACATATATAATTATCAGTTTGTTTAGTTTGATTAAAGTAGGTATTGTTGTCTCTTAGAAAAAAGAAAGTCGAATAACGTTGTAACGGTAAACACTCCTTCCCTCCTTAGAAAAACGAAGTAATGACATTAATCACTTTGTATAAAATATCCCAATTTTCCTCTCCTTAAAAAAAAACAACTTAATCAATTATTTAACTACAATTACAACGGATCTGACACACCTAACACTAAAAATTAATGGTGTGAAAGTTGGAGGTCGTATACATAATAAGTCGGATTATTTAGTAATAAATAAATAAATAATAAAGCAATAAATCAAGAGAAATAATCCAACACTTAAACTAAAAACTTGGAGTAAAGGTAATATGTGTCGTGCTCATAGAATGACTAACTGTCAACCGCTAAGATGTTTTGAAGCCAAAGTATTGGTAACAAATAGCATGTAGATCAATGTTTTGCTGTCGTTAAAGATTTGATTGTATCTCGTCTCATTGGATTAGGCTTTATTGAGAAAAAACGAAGATACCCTAAACTTTTACACAAGTGTTCTTGAATTAAATATGCCATGTGTTAGGTGTGACTCCGAAGTTGAAAAAGTACTAATCAAAGAAGTACAATGTTCACATTTGAAGAGTAAAGTCTGTGAACAATTAAAACAACTTGTGTTGAAATATGCAGATATTTTTAACAATAAACCTGGCCTCACAGATTTGTCTGAACATAGTATTATAACCACTAGTGAAAAGCCAGTATCTGGTAAACCTTATCGCTATTCTCTCACTAAATTACAAATCCTACATGATCAAGTGGGTGAAATGGTCCGTGATGGATTAATTGAACCCTTCACTTTTTCTTGGGCATCTTCAGTAGTTATTGCCAAGAAGAAGACTAATGATCTTATATTCTGTGTGGACTACAGAAAATAAAACCAACTCTCAGTATCTGACAGATATCCATTGCCTCATATAAGCTATAATTTGAATGCTTTGTTAAGTGCGACCTGTATCAGTACGTTAGACTTATCAAGTGGATATTGGCAAATACCTGTAAAAGTGGAGGATCAACATATAACTGTCTTCATAACTGATAAATGATAATTGGCTTTATCAATTTAAAATGATACCTTTCGGTCTCAAAAATGCACCTGTCACCTTCCAAAGACTTGTGGACAAGGCTTTAGCAGGAGCAAGTGAATGTTCCAAGGCTTGTATTGATGATATTATATGTCTTCGCCCACCTTTTAATAACATCTGAAAGACCCTGAATTGATTTTTCTACAAGCTTCGTACAGCTAATCTTAGTATACAAATTTCTAGAAGTATCATATTTAGAACTTAATGTTATTTCAAAAGTTCATTCTATCATTATCCCTGTGAAAAATTCATTGATTTACGTCATTGCACTCAACTCACTACCTTTGCCTGTTAAGAATTCCACAGTAAGTCAAATTTCAAGCCTTATAGTTTCTTAAGAGTTTAGAAAAATATTTTTATATGTATCAAGTACCAGAGAATAAAAGGGTGGAAACAGGGGCTTTTTATACGAGGGAAGGGCCATTAGAATGGTGGAAGGCTTTTGGATCAGAAATGGCTTTTGAGCATTGAGAATAATTTAAAGAAACCTTGACTGATTTGTACCCAGAAGTGTTAGGTAACATAGTATCGGGTAAAAGATTATTTAGCAGGAAGTATCACATTAATACAGGGGAGTCAGTCGAGACCTTTATTGGAAAACTGTAAAAACTTATAAATTATGGAACCCTGAAACTACGGAGAGAAAAATTGTGATGTGTATAATGTCACAATTATGTGCTTCTTGTTTATTTCTCTGCCGATGCCCGTATCGTTTTGTAAAGTTTAGCACATCAGCAATAGATACGACAAAGTAGCATTCCAAGTATTCTTGTATCCTTACTTTAACTCCCTCTTTATATTGACATCATGAATCATTTACAGTTTAATACAGATAGATACCTTATACGGAGAAACAATTCATGTTCTCGAATCTTCAGCTTGATCTTTTCTAGCTTCTGGCTCTGGTTTGGCTTACTGGAAGTTTATTAAGAGTTCAAAGACCAGCTAAACTGTGATAATCAACGTTGCAACATGGTCATATGTACTTTGATTAGGTTGAGCAGTAGACACGAGTAAATCATTAGCAGGATCTGTTAAAGGATGAGAAGAGGCCACATTAGGAGAAGTCCTTTGTCTTGTGGGGGGACGACTTTCAAGTCTTCTGTAGTCGACATTCCCGTTTTGTCGCAATTGCCTAGGATGACTACTATATACTCCCGTGTACAAAGAAGTTTCACCGGAAAAATATTTGTAACTCTTCCAATTAGAAACATGAAATCGTTCTATAGTTCTACCCGATCTTTAATCTGTTAATTCATACATTAATGGAGTAACACACTTAGTAATTTCGAAAGGTCCAAGTAAAATCATTTACTGCAGAAAATAATAGATGTGGCCTTAATAGTACTAAGTTACCTACTTTAAATGTGTCTGAGCATCTCTTACAGTTGTATGCTTGTTGCTGTCAATTCTGAGCCTTTTCAACATTGGATATTGCTTTCTGTTGCAGGTAGATCTGTGATCATTCATGTTAGCATTTGCACCTGTTACATCAATAGTAACACAGACTGTTTCAAACTTGCCACACCAGCTTCACTAATTTCAATAGTAACAGTTATTCTTTGCTACAAGTTAATTTATCCCTAATTAAACTTAAATTATTGCTGAATTAATGACTCAACATTGAAGTGAAAAACAATCCACTCAACAGTCAAAACTCAAATACCCTATACGAAAGGGTCCCTGTTCGGGTACCAAAGTAACAGTAAACAAAACCATAACAAAATAAAAATGAAATTCGCTATCTCAGAACGATATTTTTCACATTTTAATATGGTTAGTTGAAGTTTCTTTTACCATAATATTTTTTATCTCAAAAATCTGCAATTAATCTTTATCACAGAAATAATTCCTGATGAAAACAAAATGTAGAATTCTGTCATATTTTTATAACATTAGATGTTGTGCAGTATAGTTACAAATATTTTACATTTCTAATTTCAAAAATTCCTAAAACTGACCTTTGCATCACTATGATCTATACAGTAAACTACAAATACCCCAAAAAATGTATTTTAATTTCATTTGCAAATGCTGCACAAAATGTATCAAAAAATAAATACAGGGGATAGTGTGTGATGGCATATTTAGCTCTTTGCAATATGGGACCCCTGGTGGAGCCCCCCAGTGGCACAGCGGTATGTCTGCGGACTTAAAACGCTAGAATCCGGGTTTCGATACCCGTGGTGGGCAGATCACATATAGCCCATTGTGTTGCTTTGTGCTTGCCTTCAAACAAACGAACCCCTGGTGGGACAGCTGTAAATTTGAAAACTTTCAACAGTAAAATCCAGGTTCGATTCCCCGTGGTAGACACAGCAGATAGCCTAATGTTGCTTTTCTCTAAAACAAACAAACGTTATCGAGTTTTAACAATATCAATTTCAGAGAAATTTATGGATGAATAAGTAAAGCTTGAATAATTAATCAAAAATGATGTGACCAAGAACAACTGATGTACTCTACAGTTATTCTACGACCTGTGCAGTATGTAATGAAATGTATCTTTGTGGTATATGGTAACAAATTTGTTGTTATGTATTTATTTTAATATCAACGCTGTTTAGATTAAGTTTATATTTAAAAAAATGCATAGCTTATAGTGTTA